AGTCTAAGTGAATTTAAGTCATTCATTTTATGATTTATGAAAGAGCACAAAAATAGCTTTGTTTGACCTCAAAATGTTCAAACTTTAGCATCTTGGGCTTGGCATATGCCTGCTACTCCAGAAGATTCTTTGCTATGTTAGGTTTGGAAAACATTTGGTTTTGTAATTTGATTCATAATGACTGTAATGAGATTCTGAATAGTTCCTGATGACAGCTTTTTAAAGACATTTCCTATGAAAAATAAATAAAAACATCATAGCAAGGGGGATATTTGTGAGAAGACCCCATGGCAGATTTTGACAGTTAGTTAGGAACCACAGTGACTTTCACCCATTGCACCAGAAAAACTTTTTATATATTCACCTCTTATCTGCAGAGAGAGAAACATATGGAACTTTACATACTCATAAGCATAAACAGGTGGCTATTAGGTGCCTTTAATTCGTAGGCCTCATCAATACAGAAGCTCAGTATGCAAGTCCACATGCTTCTTTAGTTGTCTGTGCAAGAATTCTGTTACTGAAATTAAGAAAACCAGCAGAATGGAAGATGAAGATTTTTCTGCTCCCAACCCTGACAAAGTCAGCCTGCCTGGGCCTAAGGGAATAATCAGTTGTCTAGTTTTAGACATGTGATGTGACCTGATAATTACACGTCCTTATGAAACCCGCTTTCCAACACAGACTGCTTATCAGCTTGTTGCTGATATAGCTGCCTTCCAAACAGCTCAGTCGTCCCAGGGAAATTAATAGAGCCTAAGTCTAGTGTTAAACTCCCGGAGGAGAGGAATGTTTCTCATACCTGTGCGTTGCCAAATATTCTTAGCTGCAAATGGTTTTTTAATGTGCTTTATGGAGGCTTTTTAAACGTACTTCCGGATGTTTTCTGTGGACAGTACACATGCTCCGGTCTGGCAGATGGGTAAACATAGCTGTTGCCTTTGGGATACATCATATGCACTCTGAATATTTTTTTTTTAGGGAAGAATTTTCCTATTCCTTTTCTCCCAGCAATGCCAGGGGATGAAGCCCATCTTGTGCTTGCAGAACGTGACATTGGAACATTGTTTAGGGGATGTTGTCTTTTCCACAACTTTGTTTTGTCATGAGGGCCTTGTCACTAATATTTTGTAAATGCTGATGAATCAAGCTTATCTTGTTCTGTATTGACAGCTCTGGCAGTGATTAGAATAGGGGAAGCTACTATTGCTTGTTAATAATTATATTAAAAAATAGATGTGAGAAATGTTAAGCATACTAGTGAGAAAGAAAAGTGTGTTTTAGTTGTGTCTGTGCAACTACATTCGTGGATGCAGCTTTGCTGCAACATAGAAAAAAATCTGGAGGCTTTCCCACAGTGCTGCAGTGAGAACATATGTGTAGAGGATATACTTGCACAAGCATACTATTTCACATAGGAAAAGCTAACCATCATGCAGACGACTGAGAATGCACAGAATTGTGGAAAGCAGTTACATAGGCACAATCAGTGACTACTTCTGCAGTAAATCAAACAGGCTGTTACTGTTTAGGCTGCTGACAAGTGGTCAGAGCTGTTAGTTGCCACAGTTACTAGTGGTCTCATGGGACACCTAGAACCAAACATGCTCAGTCTGGTGATAAATTCAGTTAAAAGCTATTCAACACACAGAATCTTCATGGTGTCATTTAACAACAAGGGTGCAAAAGCTGTGAAGTGAATGTAGCAGTTTCTGTTACAGCGAACCTAGGATTACAGTGGTTCTGTGGCAAAAATTGCTGTTATAGTGGAGGGAAGGGTTTGATGTATCTTGGTTTTAGGAATATTATCTTAAGAAATCCCTCCATGCAGGCCCCTCAGTTGTGTTGATAGAAGAGTTTGTGCGGGATGGGAGGTGGGGTGAAACTGGGTAAAGGAACTAGTCTGGAAGAAAATGAGCAATTTGGAGGTTATTTTTAACCAAAGCAATTCCCTGACCTAATTGGTTAAATAGTCCCTCTGTTAGGGGGAAGTCTAGGGATGGGAGTAAGCAAGCTTCTTCCCTGCTTTCAGCAGGGAAGTGGAAGGGGAAGAGCCAATCAAACCAGCAGTGCTCCTGAGCAAAGCATCCCAAGTGCCTTCATGGCCTGAGTGTACCCGACCAGAGTGAGGTGTGCTACCCTCGCCTGGCTGTGTGAACGGGCTGCACATTACGGTCAGTACTGTGGGGGCTGGGAGGCTCATTCCTCCAAAGGAAAGCATGGCTCTCCAGTGATGGGCTAGCATGCGGCTTACTCAAAGCTGCAGAGCCAGCTCTGCGCTTTGGCAGTGTCCTGCCTTGCTAAGACCATGATACCTGCCAGGGACAGCCTGCCTTTTTTCATGCTCTGGTTCTCATGAGAAGGGAGCTACAGCCAGTTCAGCCCAATTTCCACACTCAGTGACTGGGGAGGGAAGGGTGAAGCATGCGGTAGATGCATTTAACCCCTTGTCTAGACATAGCATAAACCATTCACAAGATGTGAAGCAATCATGAGAGCATCTGCTGGTGCTGGGGAACGCTTCTTGAGGCCTATCCCATTATTCCTCCGTAACTGTGGTGGTGAGAGCTTTCCTTGAACACAAGGATACTGTACCCTTTGTATGGTCCATATGAGGCAAGAATGTGGAGCAGCAGGGCTCTGGGGTTCTGACTGGTTAGCTTTGGGGGAAGGAAGGAAAAAAAAAAACATTATATCTCCCTAGGAGCTTGGCTTTCTTGCTGTAGGTGGAGCTACAGGTTAATTTGTGGGACCCCTTGGCTTGCAAACTTGGCCTGGGAATAACCTCTACATTCAGGGATATTCACTAGAAAGTGATCCTTAGTCTATGGCTATCCCAGAAAGCTGCAATATGCTTCCATGAGGCAGCATTCACACTGCTGCATCTTGGGAAGGAGGCAGCTTAATCACACAGCTCAGCTAAGCCCCACTGTTTAGTCCTCTAAACTGTCTACTTCATCTTTCTCTATGGAAACACTCACACAAATACAGTTATGTACACATTTTTCTTGCTATGTAGACTCCTAATGAGACAGCTCCAAGGGGCATGATTAACATGAAATAATAATGTCCCTGAGGGCTAGGGAAGCTCAGATGCAGCTTCCACCTTGCAGCAGCTTTAATTGTCTCATGATAGCTACCCTGCTCCTGTGCCCAAACTGTGAATTACCCCACCTGGTGGCCTATGTTATCTGTCATGTTAAAATCAATTTCCCTTGCTCATTCTTGCCTATAGGTGCTATTTTTTTTGTGCGTGCTGTTTCTTTAAGCATATTTGGTCTAGGAATCCCTGGTCTGCATATGTAAGTACAGGTAGTTTGGATTTTTAGGGAGTAACTTTATCTTGCATTTCACTGATCGTGTTAGTGTTGCTCTTCCTCATACCCTGTCCACATTTATCTCTTAAAGGCTGATTTCCTGAGAAGACAGATAGGAATTTGAGATAATTTGTCTTTTTTGCTGTAGCAAAGAAACTAACTTTTTTTCTTTTTATCATGGATGTAAACATGCCAGAAAATTATTAGCTGCAGAGTAGAAAGGATTAATTCCAACCATCTATGCTTTGTATCACGCAGTTGATATTATCTTCATAGAGTCACATTTTTAGCAACAGAATTATCAGCCACAAATTATTTAGCACGCTTCGACCCCCATTCACAGTCTAAAATTTGGCATGGCTTTGTACTTTTTTTTTTCTCTTTATAACTCCACTTTTCTATTCTTAGGTCTGTATAAGGTTGTGGCTGATAAAACTCCGTACTTCAGCATTGAAGAAATTACAAGAAAAGTCTCTATTGGGCCAACACGATTTGGCCATCCATGTTTCTACTGCCCTGAGGATATAAAATTGGCAAACCTCGTCATTAAACATGGTGAGCAGATCACCTTCAACTCTGTGGAAGAGGTCAATGGAGTGATGGCTGTGAACTGTGGTGTGGTCAGAAATAACCAGTCACATTCCTTTACTTTGCCCCTTTCGCAAGAAGGAAAATTCTACGAGTGTGAAGATGACCAGATATACACCCTGAAAGAGATTGCAGAATGGAAAATCCCTAAGAGCAGAAACCGGATTGTGAAACTTTCCAATACTTTACATGTGTGGGACTCCTTTAATCCACTTCCTGAGAATTTTGACGGCTGCTTGATTCTCACGCCTGTCTATGAAGTACAAGCAGTAATGAAATGTGAGTAAGAACCAGTCTATGATCTGTTCCTCTCTAAATGGCATAATGCTCTTAAACGTACACAAGTTGCTCAGAATTCAATTACAGGTAGGATTCAGTTTGGCCAAGAATTCCTGAATCATATTTGCCACTGCTGCTAATTTCAAGATTGCAAAGCACAAAAATATTTTTACTAGTTTTGTTTCCTCTTCCATCCCTTAATTCAGATTCCATCCCTTGCATTACTTTCTGTTGCCATTTTATTGACACTATCATCACTACAATTAAATAACCTTCAAAAAGAAAATACATCATCAAATGAAAAAGCTGGCTTAGGAATTCAGTTGAATTCTCAGATTCTCTTACTTTGAATTTTAAACTTTGGCCATGGAAAGGCCATTTGGTCATTTATGGCTCCGGCTAGCAGTTGGAGAATAGATATAGCGCTACATGTTGTAACACACCCACCTACTGTTTATGAACTGCATTTCGTTTTTCAGACTCAGAGTGCAGCAGGAAGCAGAACAATGTAAATTTACTCCATTGCAGACACAACTGTTAATAGAATGTAAACAGAAAGACTCATGGACAATTTCTGAAACCTCTGGTTTTGAGGAAATGGGAAGGAATTGGAAAGGCAATATCCTTAAGAGCGATAATTTGTGTATGCATTTTTATTTAAAAAAAAGAAGAAGAAGAAGAAGAGGAAAAAATAGAAATACTTGTTGTGGCCATGACAAGTCAATATTGTTCTGTTTTTTTCTACCAAAAAAGCCAGAACTGCTGCGTTCTATTCTTACCAATGTTTATACCCATGCCTTACTTTAAACTTGTTAGTGAAATTAGTCATGGGAATAAAATTAGAAGGTGCAAGGATAAAAGCACACAGTGAAACACTCCTGAATTATGGTGGCTTGAAGAGCTGAGCAGCAGTAATGAGCCATATGTGCATGCACAGCCTACCCTCTCTCCGTTGAGCGCAAAAAAACAGATTAAGCTAAAAATTTTGACCTTGCTTCTGAGGCTGAGGGCGGCCCATTTAGTAGATGGAAACTTGTTACCCTTCTACTTTTTGGTGCACCCTGACAGCTAAGGCTTGCAGGATAGGAATTTAGCTTTTGGGAAGGTTTTGCTGCCTGTTGCCTTTACTAGAAGTAGGCTAGTGAGCTCCAGAACGATGAAATCATATCAGTAACGTCATTCATCAGGTTATTAAGCAGGAAATCTTTTCCCACTGGAGATTTTTTTCTGAGGAATGACATACGTAAATGGATAAACTACACAAAAAAGAAATAAGGCGGGCAGTGGCTGTTAGCACAATATACTGTAGTTGCTAAATGCTTTTCATGAGATATTGCACAGTACTTGCTATCAGGTTTAAAGTGCAAGTTTGGAAAGTGCAACTTCATAGATTAAAATACTTAGTTTTCCCAGCCCTGCAATTGGATCCACTTGTGTGTATTCCTGTGCCCCCTTAGCTATAGGTGCTGGATTAATAAAAAATAATGTAATGTTTCTAAAATTTTTTCAGAAGATTTGGAGATGTTAGGTGTGCACTTGTGTCTGGTAAGAGGGATAGCCGATTACATTTTCACAGGCTGTGGGCAGGAATCCTTTATACTTCCCATTCTTAATAATGAACAAAATTACGTATCTGGAATTCCTTCAACAGCTCACAGAAAAATTTCATTTTTCACTAATCAACCCTCCTTCAGGGACACTCCCTTGTGGTGCTTGGGGCCGTTGTCACCTGAAAGTGTTACTGTGACAAAAGCAGAGAGGGAATAAACAAATCCTGAATCACTGACATAACACTCTGTCGTACGAAATGTCTTATACTGATTTAAGAATTTTAAAGAATAAAAGAAGAATTTTAAAGCTTATGAAGAAAATATTGGTATGTCCTACCTCAAGGAAGTGTGAATCCAGGATATACTGTGTGCAGATCTAAGCAAAATAAGTCTTAATGAGGAGGATCATTAAATAATATTTGCTTGTTAAATTTTATTGTCCTGGTAAGTGATCTGTGGTGTCACTGACCTGGAGCCAAACTCTTAAACAAGCTTTAATTATATAGTCATTTTTGTGTTTGGAAGTTTTGCATCCAAAATTTTGCAAGCTCAGCTGTGATAAAGGAGTTGTTGTTCCCTGTTAAATCATTAAATGCAGTGGCTTGGTTCTGACAGTGAATAAAACCAGATGCCTCGGAAAGATGCAAGGGTTCGACAGAGGACATTTGTCTTCATTTATTCATAATAAACTTATACTTTATTATACAAAGGTTTTCCCTTTCTAAAAAAATGATACTATTTTGTCATAATCATAGATGTTTTTCTTTTTCTATAAATATCAATATACTTTTTTCCTATCAGATTGGCCATAGTAATATCTTGTGCTAATGGTTTCCAAATGCTGCCTATTCACTGAAAGCATTCCCCTATTCATTTCTGAGGAGAAACCATAAGTCGCTATGAAATAAAAGAGTAGAAATACGTCTTTTACTCAATAAAATGAGCTTAATAAGAGGAAGAGCTGATTAAAGTTGGAGGTGCTGTGAGAAAGACAGTGAACTAGATTTTCCTCTCCCTTTTTCTTAACCTTTTGTTCACGTGTATACCTTTTCCCATATCATCTTGTTTCTCTCTTCCTCCATGAGGTCTCCTGCATGTCAGATAGCTATATATCTCAAATTAAAATAGGTACACTTTAACTGGCACTGTCAACAATGTAGGCACACAGAGAGTTACACAACACCTCAGAGAAGGTCCTTTAAAAATCTGGCCTACAGGGCATGTATATGTTATTTCAGTGTCAGATTGAAAGCAAAAATTAATGTACTTCTTTTTCTTTCTAGTTCGAAAGGAAATAGTTCATATCCTCTCAGATCTAGATGTTGAAGTCAAGGATATAACAGACTGTTATGATATTAGCTCTTTTCTTCAACCACTGTCTTTGGAAGACGTATTTGAGAGAACAAGCAAGGAATTTCCTATGGTTGCTGAGATAATGGAAGGGCCCCAAGGAATACAGAAGCCTTATAGTTTATTGTGTACAGGGAAAGAGATTGTCATCTACAAAAAGTACCAGGCAAAAAGAGTCCTCGCCTCTGAGATCAGAAGTGATTCCCCGAAAAGACATTTTTTAATCCCTATGAGCTACAAAGGAAAGTTCAAGAGACGACCTCGGGAGTTTCCAACTGCCTATGACTTAGAGATAGCAAAAAGTGAAAAGGAGCAGCTTCATGTTGTTGCAACTAAAGCCTTTGATTCTCCCCATAAAGAACTTTTTTCTGTTTCAGTTGGAGATCAGTTTCTAGTTCAGCAATACCAGACTAGTGAAGTTCTTTATGAGGGAAGAAAGAAAGTCGTAGATGTTTTAGCTTGTGAACAAATACTAAGTGATACCTATAAGAAAGTGCTCCTCCCTATGTATATGGAAGGTGGCTTTGTGGAAGTGATTCATGACAAGAAACAGTACCAGCTTTCAGAGATTTGCAAAGAATTCCGTTTGCCTTTTAATGTCAAAGTATCCGTGAGGGATCTTTCCATTGGGGACGATGTCCTGGCTGCTGTGCCTGGTCTGCAGCTTGAAGAGGAAATCACAGACTCTTATTTGCTGATTAGTAGTGTCAGCAGTCCAGTGGACAGCTGGGAGATTCCTGTATATCGCTTAAACATGTCAGTCCATTTGCTCAGCAAAGATATGCAAACAGTTGCACCTCCTGCAACTAAGACAACAGTGGAAGAGATCAGCGAAGAGCAATACTATATGGTGCGAAGATATGAAAACCAAACCCTATATCCGCCTCCCAGGCCTCCCAAAAAGCCAACAACACTTGCACCAGACTCGCTTTTTGTAGTACCTAAGCAAGCGGTATCTGATGTACTACAGGCCCCAAAGGTAAGGTATCACATTTCCTTCGTCTTTGAATCTATTACAATCACAGGTCACTTTCTGTCAGTTTATACTCTCTATTTCACTTGTGTATCCTTATGGCACCGTACACAGATGGCTCTCAGTTCCCCGTAATAGGCAAATTAACCGTTACAGACAACAATGGTTAAAATCTCCAGTGTGCGTTAGCTGAGCCATGAAAAACATTGGAACCATGCCGACTCACAGCGGAAAGCTTGACCCAGTAATTTTAGATGGATAATCCTTTATTGCACCTATATAAAAGTGAAGGGAGATGCTTGAAGTGGCTGTGTTTAAAAGTTTATTAAGGGGAATCATCTGTTTTTAGGATATGAGTAAAGATAATTTTACTCACCTGGAAACAGCAGAATTACATTCACAGAAAGTCAAGTTATAGAGATATTTTTGGCTGCATGTTTTTGCATGCACCCATGTGGCAAATAGATTTTGAGTAAAAAGGGCAGCTGTTTTAGAACAGCATTTGATGATCAGAAAAAATTGCCCCTCCTAGGACAGTTTTCTTAGTAGCCAATGCACTTGTTCTTTAATTTTCGCGCTTATATTGAAAGAACTACTAAAGCAAGGTGCCTCTGGACTTCAACAAGAGAGACCATCCAGCAGGTACATAACTTATGTGACAGTTTCTCTCGTTCATGTGCAAAAAGGCAAATTCCTCTACAGGGGAAAAAAGGGAAATGTTGGAAACTCTTTCAGGAGATAGTTATGCTGCTGAGGCCTCAAAATGAGACTCAGGGGTGGTTGTGCTGCACTTTAAATGCAATGTAATTCATGGAATTATATTTCAGGGGTTCTGAGGAATATTTTTTGTGTTGCTGTCAAATAAAGGTCCAACTATAACGACACTGGAACTGAAGCCTTTTTGAGTACCTCTCCTTCATCTCCTGCTGATTGTGTTTCTTGCCTTAGTGCCAATTCCAGGACCCTGCAAGGTCTGCACTCCATATAGGTCCTGGTAGATGATTATGATAGTTGATAGAAGTGAATGGATAAGGTTGGTCCCTCAGATAAAGGTAATACAGCAAAAAGCTACTCCATTTTCTTCCGTCTTTCTTCTTTGCTTATACCATGAAAACTTCTTTTCTTCTTGTTTGTGAAGTGTTTGTCTCAGCTTAAACAAACCATTCTGCTAGGTTAACGTGAACAAACAAGAAAGTGGGCCCTGGAGCTAACAGCAAGCCACCAGCCTAGCGGTGGCTCAAAGTACAGAACTGGGGAAGAATTCCCCTAATGTGTTTCTGGTATAACTGTGCCCTTGGTTAGAAGAACTCAAACTGCTTGCTGTTACTGATGACTGTGTAGACACCAGCAAGTACATAATGACTTGTACAGGCTAGACTTGTGCAGGAGAGAATATTTTGTTAAAGTGAGGAAGGAGCAATTAGTGTAAGAGAGCTATGAGTTCAAGTGGTCTTGCACATTTATGAGTGAGAGTGGCCTTAGACTGCAGCTGTCCAGAGAGAGAAACACATTTAAGCTGACTGTTCCGGAGGACATCCTTCTGTCACTTGCTTGCTATAAATAAATAATAAATTGCAATCAGAATGCTTAGACTTATGCAGATTGGGTGAGACAAAAAGAAATCCCTTATTCATAAGATTAAACACCCTGAGCTGTCATGTAATAGGTTTAAAGTCACACAGAATGCATTATCTCTTCTATCCCGAGCACAGCAAATCCTCTGAGAGGACGCGGATCTTAGTTGGTAAGACTCTGCTCTGGCCTTTGAGTCAGTGATGGCAATAGGGGAGGCTGCATTTTCTTCTGAATGTATCAGGGATGTCTGAAGGTTTAGAAAGTTGGAGATTGCGCCAAACTGATAAATGGCCTACTTTGTATATTTTATGACTATGCCTAGACTTATTTGCATAAATAAAAGACAATAGTCCTAATGAGCCCAACTTAAGCCTGGCAATGTGGCAGCTTGGAATAAGCTTTAGGATCGCATGAATGGCCAATTTTTCTTCTTCAGGCAGCACCCTACCTGGCATTTAGAGAGTTCTGGCTGCTTTTAGGCGAGTGGTGAATGGATAATTTTGAAATAAGGATCAAGCTGTGCTCTTTGGTTTGGGTTTTCAAAGTGAACATCCATGCAAAATAGTCAGCACATGCACAGTGCTCGCATCTTCAAGGCAGTATTCTTCTCTTTCTTGCCCACTGGTTGGGAAACTCTGCTTGGTATGGTACCCTGGAGTTAAATACTTTTGCTGTTTTAGTCCACAGAGGACTGAAATCTGTCTGTTTTATGTCTATACCTGAGGATGCTCTGCCCAGGTGGGTCACTGCTAGCAAGTGCTTGTGCTTTGACTGCTTCTTAGCTCTTCCAGCAAGGCTGTGAAGGGAGAGTGGCTCTAGCTGTCTTTGCCTGCTGTTTCCTGACCTTGGTAAGCGGAACACTAATGCCAGGAGTGATACTATGTAGTGTATGTTTGACTGTGTTTTTGGCCATGTTAGTCACTGAATTGTATAAAATTAGCAGCCTGTATGGACAGGAAATTTCTGTGAACCTGAGATGAGTGTAAGAGCTACTTCTGTGACCATGCAAGGTGGAATATTGCAGCAATGGGCATGTGTGCGCAGTTTGGCGCAGCAAAGTCCAAAGACATCAGATAAGTTCTCAAGCACAAAATAGCTGCATTAACAGAGAACTCTGACCAACCTCTTTACAGGGCTAATTAAGTTGGCTCAGCTCCTGCTGACACAGCTTTCGACTCCAGAGCCTGGGGATCTCTTTTCTCTCCCCTACACAGTGCTGTGTGGACTTTCCCTCTCATCTGACCATTCAGTCTGGATAACAAACACCCAAACCACATAGGTATGCAGTTTTGTATTAGCTATTAACTGAATAAGGAGGAAAAAAACCCACAAGCACATACGTGCAAACTAAATCAAGGAAATGAAATAGCATATATCAAACCATCAAATTAATCTGATAGAAAGATTAAACTCTAACAAAGAACATCACCTCTGCCCACAAACCCTACGTGCTTTGCCCCCTGCTTCCCCCAAGGCCACCAGCGAGAAAGCGACGAGTGCATGCTTTGTCTAATGGCAAAGCTTAGGGTACTAGCAGTCATTCACAAGGCATGCACATTTCCCGCATTTGAGTCACTGGAATAAGGCCCTTAAAGGTCTCTAACTGCCATGTTGGACTGAATAATTTAAGCCATGCCTGATTTGCAAAGTTAGCTAGAAAATGGAAATGATCTAATAAACCCATAGTGGTTAATGTCCCTGATTTCAGAGTGGGGCGTCTCACACTTGCCAAGGAGTTCTTGGAGAGAAGTTCCCACAGGGGGAACCAGTCAGGACATCACCTTCTTGAAATAGAAGAACAAGCCAAGTGTGCACTTGTAGGCTCTTTTCAAAGTTAGGACCACTGTGGTGAATGTAACAAACAAAGTTTTTATGTAGTAACTCCAGAGTAATATTTCAGGTGCAACCTCAGATAGAAGAGGCTTGAAGTTTTGTTTTCAAAAATTTCCTTATGCTTTTTATCAGCTACCTACAGTTAACGTGCCTTTCCTCCCCTTGGAAGGATTCAAAGCACAATAAGTTTACAGGCTTTGTTTTTGCTTATCAGAATTACTCTTTCAGCTGAGAAGCTGATACAGTACTATATATGATCTACAGATTGTAATAAATTGTAGCCAACATAGGCCAAGTTTCAAGCAGTAAATATACTACAGATTTGGGAAGCTGTTAATATATGTTCTTTCATATTTTTTTCTAAACTGAAAACAGCAAAAAAGGCCCCCTTAGCAAATATTGCTAAATGCGTGTGAATAGTGGGGGAATTGTAATCAACATATGGAAAGCCACAGTTTAGTCCTGGTAATCCCAATACTCTAAGGGTGCTTGAGAGAATTAAAAGAGGGCGTATTTGCCTCCTCATAAAAAGTAAGAGGTTAGCTCCATCCAGGGCTATTTTCAGTGGTCTGCTTAGACATGTATCTAGCCTGAGCAACATTAGTATAAGTAGAGTGCACAGAAGATTCAAGTTAGGTTTGTCTTTAAATACCTTTATGAATGTGGAACTGGAAAAGTCAATCACAGACAGTAATCTGCCCAGCTCTAGCAAGAAAGCTAAGGGAGTTCCAGCAGGGGAAAGTGGAATTTAATAAAATGGTAAGTATCAGGGCATGATAGTTAATTGTCATTCAGGGCTAAGATCTATTATCCTTCAAAAAGTCATTACAATGTTATGATATTAGGAACTTTCTTGCTTTCTTGCTTTTTATTTCAAAATTAAAATGAAAGAAAAATTATCACTTCCATCTGGTTTTGCAGTTCTGCAAACTGAACTACTGAAATCTGCCATTAACATATTTATCGCATCTGTCTTCACAGCAAAATGAAGACTTATCTGGAATTATATTGATAAGACATAAGCCACATTTTTCAGCAAATGAGTTTTCCTGCAGCGCCTCCTTTCCTCCCTCCTAAACTATTTCTTTTCTGCTTCCAGAGCATTTTTTATGGATTTGGGGCCTCTCTAGTGCAGGTTTAACACAGGCGTTTCTGCTGTGCAGCAAGACACTAAACTTCCTAAATGAATACATGTTAGAAAATCCATACAGGGAAACCAGCAAGGAATAGGTGAGAACAGAGTTCAGAAATCAGTAGTCTTTTGGCACTAGAAGTGAGGGAGGAAAGCGTGGTTCGTTAGCAGATGCAAATATGCATGTGCAAACGTAAGAATCCGGGTTTCTGTCTGACAAATGCAGCGTTGTGGCCCCTGAGGCTGCAGCTGGGCTTCCTATTCCTTTCCCTTTTCACTCTGTCCCCACCAAAAAAGAAATTCTCATCCTCCTGGAGTTTCACCTTCCCCCCGCCACTTCTTTCCCCACACCACACGTATCATTTCTCTGTATCACTTTCCAGTAACTTTATAAGTCCATAATAAACATAATAGGAAGGCTAGAAGCACTGCCCTTACAGATTTATGATTCACGGTGTCCCAGGTT